TCAAGTTTAGAGAAAACGAGATCAGAGGAAGCTTCCTTGCAAACTAATTCTTTGTATTTCGTCAAAAATCTGTCCTCGTGAAATTGCAATTCGTTCGAAAATTCTTTGTGTCGTCCTTGTGAAATTATAATTCTTTGAAAAATTCTTGTAGAGTAATGTACAGTAGCTATCACAGTTTGGAACCACTTATCAGTTTCTGATTTAGCGCATTTAAAAGTATAGAAGAAGAGGTTTGCGAAAGATATAAGTGTCTCCTGAAATGTGTATAAAGCAGAAATTCTGTGTCTACGAAGGATTGTAAATATAAATAGTTTGTATATAAGTGTAGTTGTGTTTTGTTCTCGACGAGCGCCTCGACGAGGAGAGTGATCAGGGACACTGAGTTATTCGTTTGTTTACTGTCGAGGCAGAACCGTCTTGTTTTTCATGCATTTTATCCTTCTTATTCACTGCTCTGCCTCGATATTCATTCCTATACAGAATTTATCTAGTGACCACTAAAATGAAACCTTGATGTATTATCGCTGCCAAATTTTCATCGCTTTGCAATTCATTTTTTAATTTATTTCGAAAGGTTTTTAAATTTCCATCTCTTCTCTGAAAATTCTTACGTATCTTACAATGCACAGCGATCTCAAATATTTCTTTCAACTGCCTCCAAAATGCCGTTCGATTTATATTTTCACCTCTCAAAAAAAAAAAAAAAAAGCAAAAGCAAGAAAAAAGAAAAACAGTTTATTAAATTTGCATCTCTTCTCTGAAAATTCTTACGTATCTTACAATGCACAGCGATCTCAAATATTTCTTTCAACTGCCTCCAAAATGCCGTTCGATTTATATTTTCACCTCTCAAAAAAAAAAAAAAAAAGCAAAAGCAAGAAAAAAGAAAAACAGTTTATTAAATTTGCATCTCTTCTCTGAAAATTCTTACGTATCTTACAATGCACAGCGATCTCAAATATTTCTTTCAACTGCCTCCAAAATGCCGTTCGATTTATATTTTCACCTCTCAAAAAAAAAAAAAAAAAGCAAAAGCAAGAAAAAAGAAAAACAGTTTTGTTATTATTCACGCATAAAACCGGAAGTTTACACGTGTATCCAGCGTGTCGCGGCATCCGTTCAATATTCATGCCGGTTTCCGTTCATGGGAACAAGATCATCTGTACATTTTTCTGGCGGCCTCGCGTCTTTGCCACCGGAATAAATTGGCTCACAGGGTGTGAGGTGGGTTGTGCACCACGGTATGCATAAGGAAGAGCCAGCTCGTAAATAGCGCGTAGGATCCTCCGCGCGTGAAAAGGATATTTTCTGTTCCGAGGACGGTGGAAAGTGGCGCTTTACCACCTGTCGATCGCAGCAGTGCCGGGACCACAGGTGGCGAACACACCTAAACCGATCCATCTACCCCTTTTGCGTCTCATTGTCGCGTTATATTCGGACAAATTCGTTTCACGCCGATCCCCGTACATTGATTCGACCATCGATTTCCATCGGCTGTGAAACCTAAGTAATGTCAATTCCAGTCAAATAGCTTCCAATTCCTGTTCCTGACGCTACTTTCGTGCCTCCATTTGCGTCGAATTTAGGGCTTCTGGGATACCAAGTGTAGCTGTTACTACTGTGATTACTCAGTTGAAATTGAGTTCCTTTGACGATGGAACGACTTGGTCGAGACAAAATGCAACTTTCCAAGAACGGTCGCAACGTTCTCTTCTACATCGTTGTTTCTCATTTTATCGATACGAGACAAAAGTTGTAATCAATTTTTGAGTTACGTAAAAATTGCCAATAGGTCATTCTGAATTAGTTTAATTTCAAGGGTTAAATTCACTTTCTCTTCTATATCGTTATTTCTACTTTTATCCATAGAAGACAAATTTTTTAACCACTTTTCAAGTTACGCAAAAATTCATTTTTGCAAAATTTCTCATTTAGTCTAATTTTAAACCTCGAATAGCGAGAACTTATCAAATTTAGAGTACCTAAGTGCTAATTATCAGCGACTACTGTGTCTCACCCATGTGTACCGAAATTTTTTAACAAAAGAACAAACTATTCTTTATTCCAAGAATTCAACTTCGTTTGCAACCCTCGTTAAAAAAATCCAATATTTTTAAAAAAGAACTCATCGGATCTTGGAACGAAGAAGGAACGGTAGTTGGATAAATGTTCGCGAACGCTGCTCTACATCTCGAATTCCGTCTTAACACGGTGATTATCTGAAATTGATCGTTTGCCAATTTTTTCCCACGACCATTGTCTGGTTCAATAAAATACAAGAAGGAGGAGGTCGATCTCGAGACCTCCATCCATCTTCCAGCGAGTCTCGAACTCTGAAGAGGCAACTCGACGCAGCGGCGCGCGATCTCGGATAAATTTCCGTGCAATTTCAATACGAGATCATTCCCCTTGTAGAAGCGAGCCTCCCTTTTCTACCTGTTCCCTTCCTCCTCCCTCCATCTCTCCGTATACAGGCCGTGGGGTAAGACGAGCGAACGGATGGGAGCCTCGCCGGATATTAAAAATATCTTCCGTCGGCAACGGGGCAGCGATCGACTTCCGGTTTATCCGTTTTCCTCTATTTTCAACGCGTCCCTGGAGCTCGATTGCTCGCTTTCTCGAGGCGTCCTCGCTCCTTTTGCCTCGAGTTTCTCTATTTCTTCTCAACCTGTTTCTCCTCCGCCACTGTTTCTCCTTTCCATATTTCTATCCTGAATCTCGATGCAGCCGAAACGGTTCTGACTGACGAGAGGGAACTTTGGTACCTCGAACCTTCTGATTCTCTGAAATTTTGTAGGTCTGTAGAATACCTCTGTAAGCTAATTTTTTGGAAGACCGTTTCACCCTGGAACACGAAGAAATGAAAAAGGAAATTGCCTGGTGCTTCTATGGAGGTCGTAGAAAACCTCGATAGATACATTCATAAATATCGGAAATTTTGTAGATTTTGTAGAATACCTCTGCAAGCTAATTTTTTGGAAGACTCCGTTTCACCCTGAAGCAAGAAAAAATAAAACAGCAAAATTGCCTGGGGGAGGGATTTCTGCGAATGTGTAAAGTAAAGTAAACTTGTACGAAGTTTTTGTACTTGATATCTACGTAGAAGAGAAGTTGCGAAAGATTCGAGCGTTTAACTAATCCTAACGTCAAAATTGATTCTACTCTGGCAGGAAAACTAATGCGTTTTACCGCGGAAATTATTACCGGAGAGAGAGTTGCTAAAGTAGATTAGGAACAGCGAGCTTCTCGTGGCTGTTGCATATTCCTGAATCCCGCGTATTTTGCTGCAATGTGGCCTCAGTGAGAGTGGCCCTAATTTCTAAGATAAAGCTGCCTCAGTTCGCGCAGATGTATGTTAATAGAAATTTCAAGTATCTTGGACGTTTCTAGCCTCGGTTATGTGTAGACTCAAAGGTACACTCTGATAGTGTCATCGTTGCTACAAAGTAGTTAAACTGTTCCATTCCAAATCTAAGAATTATTACGCGAAGCGGCGAGTATTGTACTATTTTTCGACCAATTCTGACAGTCGCAACTTATCTATTTTATTGTTTCGAAATAAGTATAGGACAAATACGATTTTTTCGTTCTATTTCTTCACTCCGCTGTAATAATTGAGTGCTAAAAACATTCCCGGGATTTTATCATTTATTTAACGAGCGAAAAATCGCAGGAATTTTTTCGTTACCTGGTACATCTCATATACCTGATTTCCAGCGATTGCTCCCGAATAAAATAGATCCACGTTACAAAATGCCAAATTTACCCAATTCCAGGTGTTAACGCAGCTTCCCGCGCTTCTTGTTGGTTGGAAGGTCGGGTTGGCGTTGGTAATTATTGCACGTGTATGTGCCAACTACTTATTGTCGCGATGGTGATCGCGCTTTATTTGTGATGTCGATTATTGCGGACTGGACCGTACTGGTGTTGTCAAGATGTCGAGTATCGCGTGTTAGAGCGCTCAAAGTGGCGTCGATTGTTTCTAAGTATATTAGAATCTGCCCGGCAGAGAGGGAGAGACGGTCCCAAACGGGGGTGTCAGTCCCGCGTGGCGATCTTGCCGAAACGTCGACTTTGCGGGTTTATGGCATGTTTAACGTTACTGAGCGCGTAGAGGCAAGTACCGGCTTACCATGTGGCCCGCAGAAGTGGAGAATTTCCGTGGCCATCAGGTAATCAGCCAGATTTGCCCTCTGGCTTGAATAGGCTGTTGTTATTAAAAAACTTGTAGAAAAACTTCGCAAAAGTAACGTCGCTTGGAATCCGTGCCATAAACCCCTGTTGGTTAAACTCACCGCTCGGAATTCCCATTTTTTCACCCAACTTTTCATCGTATCAATGCAGCCGTGAAATTTTTAAAAACGATACGCGTCCCAGTCGCGATTCATCCAAGTGTAGTCGCAAGTATTCGCGCATTTCCGGTGGAATCCTCTTAATTACTTTAATGGATGTTCAAAAAGTAGCCACGTCGCTCGATGTTTCTCCCTTTGAGCCGGGTTCTGTCCCCTCGGTTCCCTTTTCGAGGCCGCGCAAACAGAGAAACGCGAGCAAAGCATATTTCCACGTCCAAACATCCTGCGAGCTTTTCCAGCTCTCCTTGGCCTCATCCATGCTGGAAGGAAGCTTTAATTACCGCCTTCTCGAAGCCTATTTACCCTCGTCTTCCGCCGCTCTGCGAGCTGTTTCTTCGTTTCGAACGCGGTGAAACCAATCCCTTCTGTCGCGGGAATTATCCTCGAGTGTCGCGAATATTGTAACGTCGCGTGGACCGGGCGAAATTGTTCCCGCAGAATGACGTTCGCGCGTTGAATACGCGGAGGGAAAATTGCTCGACAGGTTCCGGTCGGTTTGTGAAAGTTGGACGATTTTGGAGATTTTTCGAACACGCGGCGATCACGCTCGTTCCAAGGCTGGGATATCTGTTCGTGGGTATGGAAAATGCCTGGAAATCGAAATGGAGGAACGTGGTTGCTGGGTGAATTTTTTTGAACGCGGAGAAAATGGGTACGTGACTTTGGAAAAATTGGAATCTTTCGGAATGTCCGTGTTGAGGGCTCGGAACTTGCGGAAATGTTGCTCTAACGAAGCTGTCAATTAGCGATAATTGGTGTTCCAATGGTTCTTTGTTTTGAATCGTGGGAAATTTCGAAGGAATTTCTTTTAACGAATCTATCAATCGATGGTGCGTAGTATCGTAATGTTTCGAGACGAAGGAATTTTTGTGAAAAGTGAACGGTGGATGAGAGAAACTTAGGCGAATGAGCATGCAAGAGGTAAAGAAGGCCATCGACCGATGTCCAGGTTCAGCCGTCCAATATTGGCCGATGAAATTCTACGGTGACGCGAACGGTAATCCAATTGGATGGAAATCGAGGGCAAACAGTCGGCTCGCGTACACCAACGCGTCTAATTATTAATAATGCGACGAGTCACAGGCCAGATGGATGGCTGTTTGCGCCGCTTCTAGTGAACGAGATTGGTTACTCGGGACGTGCATTACGGCCACGGTGTCCGTCGCTTATCAATGGGACATCGTTTGAAATTGCGCGTGTTTGTCGATAGAGAACCTCGTTGCCCTCGATCGGAAAGAAAAGTCTGCGCTGCAATGAATCCACTCGTATGTACCCTGTGATCAACGATTCTTCTGTGTAATCAATACCGATTGCGATTCAGCTTGAATTTTAATAATTTCATTCTTTTACTTGCTAAACGTAGAAAAAGATTACCGTCGATTTCGAACGGTCTACGAAGAGATTCTTCTATTCTCATCGGAACAAGAGAATTCTCATCATAATTCTACACGGAACATGTAAGACAGAATCTAGCTAACACACTCGCTATCCGCTATTCCACTCACACACGCACCATCAATTCGTTGCTCCTAAAAAAAAATCGACCTTAAACCAGTTCTAACCCAGCATCGATCGGTAATTTCGGTAACGAGAAGCCAGGCACGAGCGGAAATTTCGCGATGTGGGGAATAGCGGTGGAGAAGGGATGAGAGGAGTCGGTCGATATTCCGCCGATAGGTTCGATATTAAGCCACGTCCCTCCTCGAGGAGAACGTATCCTGGCTTTACGAGCGGTTTTTACGGGTTCCCTGCGAATTCACCGTTCGCTCCTGGGTGTCGGTTACTCTTCCACCCACAACTCCCTTCTCTCTCTTGGAACCGTGTGCTATGTGCTACATGTTTCAGTATTTCGGTTAGCTCGCGTCAGGATTGCAGACCATTCCCTGTTCCAACCACCCCCACTATGCCGGTTGGTGGTTCACTTGTGTGTGTTCCTTCGAACTTTAACGAGTTCGTCCTATATGTAATCGCGTCGGTGGCGCAGCGACGTCGAAACATCAACGACAAATTGGATTTTGAAACAGTCTGTACGTGACCGCGGTACCGTATATTTCGCAGACGCTTCGATGGCGAAACGGAGATCCAGCTGGAGTACGATTTACGAGGCTGACCGCTCTTTTGACTCTCGGTTCCTCCCCTCTCTGGCGAATGGTGTTGCGAGTCTAGAGGGGAAATTTCGAGGGCTGTAAAAACAGCGGGAAATCATAGCTCGCGGTGGCTGGCCCGATGTTTCGCGGAGAAAGTTGCGTTTGGTGATACTTTTTGGGAGTATGTTTGGGTAGTTGCTGTTTTTGCGAAGTTTTGAGAGATTCGGGAGGAAAGAGAGATGTTTCGGAGGTGTTTTTATGGGTCGTGGGACTTTGGGGTGTTTGGTATCTTGGGATCTTTGGGATTTATGAGGCTTTGGGATCTCAGAGTTTAAAAATCTCAAAGTCTAAGGATTGCAGAATTTAAGGATCTCAGAGTCCAAGGATCTCTGAGTTTTAGGACCCCAGAGTCCAAGGATCTCTGAGTCTAAGGACCCCAGAGTCCAAGGATCTCAGAGTCTAAATATCTCTGAGTCTAAGGACCCCAGAGTCCAAGGATCTCAGAGTCCAAGGATCCCAGAGTCCAAGAATCCCAGAATCTAAGGACCCTAGAATCTAGAAATCTCAGAGTCCAAGGATCTCAGAGTCCAAGGATCTCAGAGTCCAAGAATCCCAGAATCTAAGGACCCTAGAATCTAGAAATCTCAGAGTCCAAGGATCTCTGAGTCTAAGAATCCCAGAGTCTAAGAATCTCAGTGTCTAAGGACCCCAGAATCTAGAAATCTCAGATTCCAATAAACCCAAGATTTAGGCACCTCAGAACCTCAGGATCCCAGGATATTTAGAGCCCTTAGAACCTAGCATCCTCAATATCTCACTAAACATTCCTCCACCCTTTCTGTTACAGTGAAATATCTAAGGGAGGTGACGCCATACTTCAGGAAGGCTTCGATCATCCAAGAGGTAGGCTGGGAGCTTCAGCGTGGTTTCCTCAGTGCGACACCGCCACCGCCGAAGTCTCCACCGCGAGCGGATACGCGTTATCTACCGTTGCAACTCTGCAGACTCACCAGAGCTCATCCTTCCTCCGATCCCGGTAAGTTCTTCATCTCTCTTGCTATCCGCGTGCATGCGTTGCTTAATTCCTGCCGCGACGCCGAACATCGTCTGAGAAACTCAGCGAAATTCCTCAACGAGAGCGTGAAAGCGGAAAGCGTTAATTAACAGTGCTTCTTCGTCAAAAAGACCACTCAACCCTTTCACTATATATACATACACAGTCGAAACGAGTAATCACATCGCACCTTTAATTCCTCGTATCGGTATTAAGAATTTCTCGTTTATTTCTCGAAATAATTAACAAAGACATCGTTTTAAAGGCATCGTTTTAAAAGGTACGCGGGAAATTTACGAGTATTCGATGGTTCAAAAAAGCTGTCGAACATAGGGTGGGCGGGAGGTAACTGGCAAATCAAACGAGGCGAAATTTCTCTTGCCCCGCACGTTTAGAAGTAAACGTTTCAGCGGAACGTTCCTGGATTACGTGCACAAGCCGCGTCTCGTGTGTGCCGCTCCTCTCGAGAACTGCATGCTCAGCGACCGAGATAATGACAGCCATAACGCAATTAACCCGTTTCTGGGATTACAGTCGAACGACCGTGCGCGCCGGCGTACCGCGAGTTTGACAGTCAATTATCGTCTAATGAAACGAGGAGCTCGCGCGAGAAAAGCTACGCCGCGATTACGCGTGTTGCGAGACGCTACTCGACCTCTCGCCATCTCTGTGTACCTGTAGTTCCAGCTTCACTGCCACACTTTTTCGTTAACCTTTCCTCGCAACGAATAATACAACTTTTCGTAATTTTCGTGGGTGAAAATCAACGAGAATGAGACAAAATCCATCAAAGAAATAAGAATGAAACGGGCGGAGCAATGAGAGAACACCGGTAAAAAAAATTATGCAGTGTTTTCTGTGACAAAAAATTTAGTAGCATGACTAAAAAGAAATAGGGTCCGAGAAAAACGTTACTTTAATGTAAAATAACTCTTTTTTTTAATAAACTTTTACGACACTAGTCTGTATATTTCTTGATCACCTTGTATATGTACTCGTTGCAAGACGAGATTCCAGATGGAATAATCTTTTTCGGGGTCTCAAGGTTTAACCCTTTGAGAAGCGACATTGAACATTCGTCACTTGGTAAATTAATCACGACAGAGAGTAGATCTATGGATCTCCACAAATTTGCTCACCATAGTGAAATAAAAAATACATCGTACGTTGAAATAAAATAGTACGATTCATTTCTACGTCAGTTTGAAAAAATTTCAAAGAAGATCCGATTTGTGACCTGTTTCGCAGCAAAAATACCCGCGTGTCCGAAGGATTAACATTCGTATCCTAACACGTACGAAAGCGAGTGCATGTGCGCTAGTGCACCCGGAAAAGGTTAATCGTATCTTTGAAACATCTCACAGAGAGTCACGTGTTTGGATCGCCGCTTAATTCGAACAAGCTGCATCCGCGTCACTTGCTGGGTGAACGTGACGCGAGTCCTCCCCTCAGGCCCGTAGACAATACGGGAGGAACTCGTTGGCGTGTATACCAGATGGTGGTAAGTGGCTCCCGCGGCTGAATGGATCTAGTTTTCATCGAGATGCCGCGCGCCTCTGTCTGCTCCGCTCGGAGCTATATACAGTGACAAAGAAGGGGTTGGAAAAGTGTATCTGTCGCCCCCTCCGTGGATCCAACCGTCGAGTTAATGAAAGGCTAATGGGCTCTTAATTCTGTAGAGTCTCTCCTACCTGGTTCCCCGCTTCTCCCCCACTCGTTCAACCCTCTCACGTTTCTTTCTACTCTTCGTTTCCTTGCGTCCCCTTTCCCGTTCGATGCTTGTTCCAGTCCCGTTCGCCCCGGAGGAACTCTCGTTTTGTCTGGTATTGTCTTGTTATTCCGACGTCGTTGCATCCGGAGCTGAATTTTCGTGAACAGAGGGTGTTCTGACTTTTGATTCTCTTTTTTTTTTTAAGGGTGGAATAAAAGGTAGGAGAGGATACGAGGGTGGTTTGGAGGTTGTACTGGTACATATTGACAATCTGTGTTATATTGCAAATGTTAGTTGATCCTTAGGAGGAGAAATAGGATACGAATTTTTTAATAAATACAACGGGGATCACTGAGAAAATAGGACACGTATTTAAGGTTCTTTTTTTAATCGAGACTACCAAGTATCGTTGCTCCCTCATCTCCAAATATAAGTAGTACCGGCGTAGCCTTTACAGAATAATTCCACAAAATGCCCCAAACCAGACGAAAGGGGACACAAATATCCCAAACAATTCCTAAAACTTCTGCTAGATAAAAGAAAGGAAATTCCTCCTTACAGAATCTCCTCTATCACCCATCTCCATCGTTTCATCCTTCAGTCTTCCCCTTTCGCTGCTTGGAAAAAGGAAATCGTGTGCCCCTCGGAGGATAGGCTGATACCAGACCTGGAGAAGTTCAGCTGGACGGAAAAACCGAGAGCATGTACACACATACAGAGAGACAGAAAGCGAGAGAGAGAGAAGGAAAAAGGGTTCCACGGTGGTAAAAGGGAATCGTACGCTAGCCGCAGGAATTGCGGAAAGCAATCAGAAGCGTGCTGTATCTCTCGTTCGTATCTGCCTTATGGCCGCTAAGCCAGCCAGACCGGACCTCTGTGGCTCGCCTCTTTCCCGATACGTTATGGTATTTTTCAAGTCAACAGCCCTGGACCGTAGGATACCGTCCCGCTTGGCCCGGCATTGTCGTGTTTATCCTGTATTACTAGCCACGGCTAGCTGACGGATCTAGAAATTGTCGGGGACGGTGGTCGGGCAAACATCGACCATGGAAAAACGTCGTTAAATTCATCCGGAGTTTGCTTGTCAAATATTCAACGTTCCTAGCTCCCCGGCTGTTTGTTGTTGTTCGAAACGTTTATCTTCGAGTTGCAGGACCCTTCGCTGGGAAATTGAAGAAACTGCTTCATCTTACGAGGACAGAGTATACTGTAGACATTTTCTCCTACTTGAACCATTTTCTAAAGCTTCTCCGTTTATCCAGCCCTTAGACTCCGATGGTAGAAACGGTTCATTTGCATATCGACGTACGTTTGTTTTAATTTTCTGCAGGGTTGCTGACTTACTCCTTTTTGCTCTCTTCCTCTCCATCGCGATGGATTATTAAGCTCAGAATCTGCAAATATAGATAGATAACTTATGAAAGTATCACGCTTTCTTTTTTATCTTCCATCCCACCGCGATAAATTATTAACCTCAGAATCTGGAGACTTTTGTCACACACTCTGCATATATTTTATTTAATTCTGCAGGGTTAATAACCTATGCAAATATCACAGATTATTGAGCTCAGAATCCAGAAAAACCTATTACTACGCAATACAGAACTTTTCCGCTGCAACATTTATCTATCAAAATCCAAAAAAAAAAAAAAAGAGAAGGTAGAGGTTGACAGAGAAAACACTCGGTTCGAAAAAGGGGTAAAGAATGGCGCGGCGTTAATGGCGTTCCTTTCCAACTGCGGAGGTGCATTCTACGGCCGCATGGACGCGTTAAAATTTACCGTAAATCTCGGGTGGCGGCTACGAGTGGCGGAGAAAGAAGGTGGGGCGGTTTCCATCAGGCAGCGCCGAGAAACGCGTCACGTTCGACCGGAATATCTTTTCAAGAGTTTATCCAGATGCAGGGGATTTCCGCGGCGGAGGAAGGTTATTTACAATTTATCGCGACACGTAGCTGCGCCCGGGTGCTCACAGTACCGCTCCTGACGGATGGGTAATTGTTATTTCGCACCTTGCGTCCCGGGGCGCCGTGAAAATATGATTTTATGCGTTCGCCCCGCGAATCGTTGCGTCTACTATCGTGTACCTTCTCTTAACACCCCTCCGGACCTCCGTCTACCTTCTACTCTTCCTTTAACGGTATAAGGATTGATTATTCTCGGTTTTCCCTGCTTTCCTTTATCTCGCTGCATTTTACGGTAGATTCTGTGTTCGTAGTCGGGGTAACGCCGGGAAGATAACTCGTAGAGCGGAAAGATGCGCGATAATATGCATATACACGGGGTAGAATGATAGGGCAAATAGGTACAGAGTGGTTGTTTGTGGAAAAAAATCGAGTTTGAAAATTCTCTTATTTGGATGATCGTTAAATCCGGACGCTGGATATTTTTGTGAAAAGGAAAAAGAGAGGAAATTTTTCGTGCTCTTTGAGCGACTGCATTACCTATCCAAAATTCCTCTGCAGAGCTATCCACACTTTGCACAGACCGTGGAATAATAAACGGTCAGATGGAAGACAGCGGGCGAGTCGGCAGGAAACGGGAAAATGAAGAGGACCGTGGTTGGCCAAGGGCAAACACGAAATGCACGTAGCCACAGTGCACGTCGATATTACACGAGGGAAAGTGTAAAAAAAGGATAGGTGGAGGAGGTGAAGGAGGATATCGGCTATCGTCCACGGGTCTATCTGCGAATTAAAACAGACCAGTGGACGCGTGAACGGTACAATGAAAATTGGCTAATTGAATTAGCCTGCAGCCGAGAGAGCGGATAGATAGAGGCTTCCGTAAACCCCGGACCGTCAGGTATTAGGAACGGGGGTTCCATTAAAAGGAAGAGCCTTGGAACCGGCGGGCTGCTGAAAGAATAGATCCTAACCCAATTAAAATCACCTGTTAATTGTACGAATATCGAGGAATCACAATGGAAATCGAGAGAGGCGCATGCGCCCGTTCTTCGTTTGGAAAATCCCCGCGAACCTAACCCACCTCTTCCACGCTGCCTCTATTATCCTCGACCGCGTGAATTCCACGCGTTTCCCGTCTCCTAGGTCTCTAATGAATCGATGATGGTGGTTCACGATGGGGCAAAAAAGTATATATCAACCTTCACACTAACCGACCCCTCCATTATAACTCTCGTTCCCACAGAGTCAGAGGACATTGTTACACGAAAATTTCACCGTGGAATATTCGCGAAATATCGCATCATCCACTCGTTTTTTCCCACCGCAAGACACACCCCCCATTTCTAATTGCACGATCCACGCAGC